TGTGTGATTCACTGCGACTCCTCTTTGGGCTCGAAGGAGTGGTGGTCGGCGGGGTGGAGAACGATGGAGGCGCGACGAGCTGTCCCGGCTCCGTGCGGCATCCTTTGGAGGCGTGGCCGGGCAGGCCACATTTGAAGCAGGTGATGGGCGCCTTCCATGGGGAAGAGATCACCTTCCCCTGCAGTCTCTGCTCCTGCCGCCATCCCACGTCGGTCCTCGCATACGGACGCCCCTCCAGCGATGCACCAACTGGAGGGTACTCCTTTTCCTCCGGCTTTTCGATGTCTCCTGGCAGTCCAGCGCACGCGGCCACTCTGAATCACCACCCAAATTACAGTGCGCCTGGATACAGCGCGTTACCCTAAGAGATGTTAGGTTGTAATTTTCTGTGGCGGGCAAAAAAACGTACATGTCCCATGCCAATGCCAACAGTCGTTCTAAAACCAGAAGTCCAACCCTGCCTGATCCATTTTAGGGTACACCGCTTGGCCCGGCGACATTAGCGCGCTGCGGAAGGCGAGGGGCATTTCGGCCTCCCCCTGTCTCCGCATGGCAAACTTCTGTCGCACGTTGGACGGCGGGTCAAAAATATATGCCATCTGCGTGCACGCCGTCGTCAACATTGTCCTCTCCAATGGGGGAATCACATAAAAAGCCGTCAAGGCGTCGTCATCTAACGTTGTAGGCAGCGCACACAGCGCCTCAGCGTCAATCCAACCAGCTAGAAAATCTTCTTTGAAAGCCTGCCCAATCGCCCCCAGAGGCAGCGAACTCCCTTATGAAGGGCAGCCGCTTCCCCAGGGTGGGCACCTCTGAGCGCGAAGCCGGCGGCACGTCAAATTTGGCGGGAGCGGTTTCCCGCCCCGCCGACAAAATGGCAGCCGCCCGTGCGGGCTGCGGCTCCGCGGCTTCCCACGCTCGTGAAATGGCGGCGGCGGCCGGGCTGTCTTTTCGCTCTTCCCGTGCCGCCTCTGATCTATCCAGCTCTTCCATCTCAATCTCGGCCACAAGCGCCGCCGCCGCAGACACCAGGTCGGCGAGGCACATGCTTCTCAACCGGTGTCCCCCTGCAGGCGGCCGCAGCGCCGAGGTGCAGTCCTCCTCGCGCTGCTCCGCGGGGAGCACCTCCGCAGGATTCTTCTCCGGGCTCTCGGTCGTCTTCATCGTCCGTCGACATCACGGTGAGTGATAATCTCGACCTTGACATATTAATTTAGCTATTCTTTTCCTTTCTAGTTATTTTCCGACACCAAATGTAGTGAGTCATTCAGAGACACTATTTTGGAACCAACAACGTTTATTCTACACTTTACGCAACACCTACACACAGGACTAAATACACCTATTCTTACTCTTGTTACGCATAGGACCACAATACACATATTTCTCTTGCATACGGGATAACTATAATCGGGTCAGAGCAGACAACGTGCTGCCTGACCCACAATGTCGAAGATGGGGACGAAGACATAAACGTAGTACTTGTGTTCCACTTCACCTACAGAGAGCCTGGATCTGTGACCGGGGCTTTCCTTTTATCTCTCTCGGCGCGGCCTGGCTCCACCCTCGGCCGCGCCCTACGTCCAGAATATTCCTGACGTTTCCAGGCTACACCGCACCTGTTCCCTCTCTGGCTCCACCCTTAACCACGCACCCAGCACCATGCTTCTAGTGGCCCACTGAATGGCACTACATATGGTGTGTTAGCCTCTCCGCCTGTTTCAGCGGCACTTGGCCCTACGCGCCGTAGTGATCCATTTAACATCACTACACATGTATTTTGCAATGTGAAGATTATAATTTTCATTGGATACATTTAGAAATGTGCTTTAGCTTCTTTCAGCACTTTCACCCTGAACTTGATGATGGAAATCCATACACTACTCTGCCTAATTAAGATTTTTCATTCACTGCATTTTTCCTGCTATGACATATGGATCAGAAACATGGACACTGACAAAGAAAATGGAACAATAGCTGACAGGTACACAAAGAAGTGTTGACAGGTGCATGTTTAGAATTGCACTGAGAGACAGAAAGAAAAAAAACACCATGGGTCAGAGAACAAACACAAATTAGAGGCATCATATTGACTGTTAACAAAGTAAGTGGGCTTGAGTAAGACTCATCGCTTGAAGGGATGATTGTAATCAGTCTCGATTATAAGAATTATTTAGTGGCAGCCGAAGGAGGGAAAACACACCCAACATCCCAAGAGTACAACCACTGTGAAAGTGGAGTAATAAGATCAGCTCACGTGCAGGAGCTGTATGGATTGTTGCATCACGAGACCATGAGAGATGGCGACAATTTGGGGAATTATTTATCCAGCAGTGGGTAGACCATGGCTGATGATGATTATGATTCTCATCTCTAGCAAATTAATAATTTAGCATAGTTAGCATAATATTTACCCCATGAAGTTTGCAAAGCACCATTGGTTTCCACCGCAAGAATGATGAAGGGTAGATATATTTCTGAATTGCTAGTTGTAATCATAAAGGATAAATTACATTTGTTGGTATATAACGTGTAATACAGTTTATAGAAAACAATGTGGATGTATGATGTTTGAGATTTTTCGTTACCTGCAAATAATTTAACGACCTTATTCAGTTGTAAAAGAATGTATTTATTGTTTTCTGTTTTATGAATTTGTTTTATGAATTCTTACGAATTTGTATTTTTATTTCCATATGCAAAAAATGTATGGTAAACTGTGATTACGTTAAAACTTGTGTTTTCACACGGTTGAACCCAGTTTGTGATTAGAAGATTATAGATTTATGTTTGGAATCCCATGAACATTCCAAATATATGTATGTGGGTCAGAAAGATCAAGATGTCAAAAGAACACTCTTTTCAGCAAAACAAAAGAGGCAGCTTGTTGGATTGTGTGTTTTTTTTGTGTTCAATCATAAACAGTACCAACGCACACATAGCATGCCTCCAAACAGCTCTATTCCAAACAAAACTTGCCTCATGGGGTGATTTAATCTTTAAATATTTGAAACCATTTTCAGTCATGTTGGAACGTTGCTACGAAAACCAAAATATTACATTGTTTTGAACAAAGGCTTTGATCTGCACCGTTCTGTTTTACAAGGTGCCATACGAAAGCCATTAGTGCTCTGCACGATGATCTGAGATGGACTTTTTAGAAATGACGGCAAGATCGCAAGTGCAATTGTTTAGATGTGTGCATTCACGTGGTTTTAATCTCTAAATTACGAAGAATTCTTATGTTGTTGCCACATGTGAAATGAGCAATATTCTTTTGTATATATACAGTTCTGAACTAATGTCTTTGATAGCTCAGGGACAATAATTCCTGGAGAAAATCTAAATAATATTCTGCTAAATCCCATACCTTGTTGGAGTACGGTGGAGTACGATGTTATATTCAGAGTGATCCATGTCTTTTTTTAAATGTATTTCATAATAAAGTCATATCTACATTTGACACTGGGTACAGTTATACAATCTTCAGATATACATATTAAATGTTCTACTCAAATGAATATAAAGTAAAGGGGCAACCCTGAAATATCTTGCTCATGCCACTGCTAGCGGAAGGGCCTCCACAATAGTGACCTATAGAGAGAGTTCCTATAGAGGGTATTTGGCCTATTCTTCCACATTAGCGCACCTTCGATTTGCATGGTTGGCTGCGTACGGTGCAAAAGAAGTTCAACATACATACATTAGCCAGACATCTTTTGAAGAGGTGGGAGTACTTACACGTGATCCCACCACATGTGACCTGCCGATCGACTAACTGTGTTGTTCCCATGTATGTGGATGGGTGGACAGAGGTGGGGGGGGTTTAGGAAACCTGCTACCCCAGGAGAATGAACGAGTAACCTTTAAATTTTAAGTCCAGTGTGCTCACACGATTGCAGCAACCAATTATTTGAATATAATGAAGCCTACTTTATGGGGGTTTATTGAAACATGTTTTGCTTTCATGTGGAAGGCAACTGTGAACATGCCTCTTTTTATTTTTTCCTATAACATTGTCTCTACATGCTTATGATAGTGGAAAAAAAATATTCTTAAAGATTTGAAAACTGCCAAATTAGTAAAAATTCGACAGAATAAATTACCTTGCATTTTATAAATGTTTCTGAATACTGGTTAGAAATGCAATACACATGTACTTTAGGATTTTTTAAACAATTGCTTTCACATTACACATTTTGAATGAACTTTCTAAACAATATTGATCTATGCTTATACATAAATTGATTCATAAATGACACTATCAAAATTCAAATTATCTCAGTTACATACATCCTATTTCCATACAAAACTATTCAAAAGGGTTGGCAAGAACCAAACTTGAGATTAATGTCTAAACTGAGCGTTGGGCTTGTAGAACATTCAAACATTTTTTTCATGCCTGGATCAGGCCATTGCGTGCAGGGGGTCACTGAAGGTATGTATTGGTTAAGTGGGGGTTTCTTTAGTTCAACCAGGGACATACAACTTAATGGATACCTGTATGCATGCTAAGCATGTTTAAGAAAATACTACTTGGAGGATAGCAATCAGATGCTACTGATGAAGATGTTTTAAACAATGTCAGATAAGCATTTTAAAATTATTTTGAATTATTTTAGATAATTATCTTCACTTCCCTTTCATTTGTATAAAAAACAATCGCTAGTGAAATGCTGGATTTTCAACAAAGCGGATTTTTATTTAAATACAGAGTTGTTTTATTTATGGTTGTTCACGAGTAACACAATCGTAATGTTGATTAGTTCTTCAATACACGTCCTCAACTGTGGCATACTTGGCAGCGCCTGGATTTTAGTTAGCGATCCTTAGATTGGTGAATTAAAAACTAATTCTAATGTGTGTGCCTCTTGTGACGGAGATAATTTCAAGGTATTCATGAATGCGAAGGAGACGTAGACAAAGCCGAGTTTATTTTCACAGTAACCTGCTTAAGCGGAAATGATCGATTACACCCTGTGTCTGTGGTCTTCCTTTAGGAACTGACAAGGCTTAGTGAGTTGGACTTGCGCCTGTTGCTGAGCAAGTGCCCAGGCTGGGAGGAAAACTCGTCTTGTGAATCTACGCCTTGTGGTACCGCTTCACCGAGACTGCCAAAGGCAATGTTCACAAAGCTCTGCCATGAAGGTCAAGGGAACATAAGTGTGGCAAGGCACTGTGGTGAAGAGGCTCCAGAGATGAATTCCAGTGGGGGAAACCTGCGTGAGGCGCTTTCAAAGAGCGAGCGGTCAGAAAACATGACACCTCGTCTTTCTGAGCAATCAGAAGATGGGGTTGAGACTAACGATTTGGAGAGCAGCGACAGGGAATGCTATTACATGAAAAAGGCTCTGAAACTTAAAAGGGCTAAAAAACCCTTTTTCTCCCAGTAATCCAAATTGTGGCCATGACAGCATTTCTTTGCAATTTGAACGGAGAGATGAAAGCACCAACGTTCAGCAAGCAGACGGGGGAACATTGAGTCTCCAACTGGACCGTGATCAGACAAGCTTGAGCGAGTCTGTTTTTTCAGACCTTTTATAAAGCAGGAATGCAGGGAGGATAGCGAAGGAAGTAGAATTCCCAGAGCCATATTTCTTTAGAGACATTGGGTATTACAAGCCTTACATTGGTGAAATATTGATTTTTTTTTTTCACAGACATGCATAATTTAACAAATTATTTGTAAAGAATGGCTTCGTATTTTTACTTGAGTTAAAGAATTTCCTTTTGCTATTGGCCTTGGTTGTTTTTCTTACATTTTCAAAGGGTACTCTGTGGAGTAAATGTGTTTCATGTAAATACAGAAAACTTCATTAATGTTTTAAATATCCATGAACTACCACATTACAAAATGAAAACATTTAAGTAATTAATATTTTTTTACATAAACATTTTGTGCCATGGGCTCATGGGATTCACAAGCCAAATAAATTGCAACTGGTCATGATTTATATTTAAAGGGAATTCCAGTGACCAATGGGTTCTTGACCCTTGCTCTTTTAACAACCAGCCCTTCCCCCTTCTCTGTAGCCAGTGACTAGACTGAGATGATGGCTGTGCATTCAAGGTGGCGGTGTCATGACAAACATGTCTCAAATTTAAGTGTAGCTAAGCTCAAAATTAAGGGCTTAGATTGGAATGTTATATTAAATATCCAATGGGTTTTTTCAACAATAATAAGAGTAGAACTTTTATACGATCAAGCAACTCTTGACAAAAACGAATTGGCGTCATGTTTATGTAATTTACAAATCATTATTGTTTCTGGCATATATGATTGTAAACTGTTAGGTTTACCATCCTTTGTAGGTGATTGTTATTTTTAAGTCTTAAGTGAATGCAAATATTGTTCGATTGTGTGATGGTCTCATTTTAAAGGCATGAAATGGAAATGGTCAATGGGTGTGTTTCGTATGCATCTGCATTATATGTTGTTTAACGTATACTGGGGTAAACCACACTTCTACGGATTAAGCTCCTGAAGATAATTAAAATTGTGAAAGAAAAACAGGCCTTTCACAAGACACAAATATGAATTTGTCCATTTTCTGTACAGCTTTCCCTTGATTGAAAATTATTCTGACAGATATAATTATTCAAAATTTTGTTATTCTTTTGTTCGTATTCAAATGGAAGACGTCGTTGTTATTGACAATATATAATAAACATTGCATATTGAGCATTTTCGTAAAACAGTGAGACATGCAAAATACGTATGACACACCAACAATTCCAGAAATCTCTTTCTAATACAATTTCAGACAACCTAAATCTACCGCCATTCTTATTTGACACATTTATATTTAACAAATGTGGATGGATTAAACAGATTATAGTAGCTAAAAAATGTTAATCTGATGCAATGTCTGATATAACAAAAATGTACTGTATCAGCACACGTTTACCTTGGTCTCCTGTGCCACAGAGATGGAATTCAGTTTTACCCTTTGCTTCGGTTTTGATTAATATAAAAGAGATAGGAGAAGTTTGTATTCAAAATCTTCTAAACAAACTATTGTTTGGACCGATATCTCTTTATGCTACGCTCCTGTGTGTAAAATATTTAAAGTCAAACAAAACATGAATGGGTTTTGTGCTTTTTATCTCCTCCGGATGTTACTTCCACAGACATTCCTGCAGTATCTCATCAGCACAGATGGAGGTTATATCTGATGGCTGTGCTGTCAGTCAGGGGCCCAAGCTTGAGAACCAAGCGTTTTAGGCTATGGAGGTCAATTCTATAAGGGCTGACAGCTTTTATATTTTTATTAATGTTTGTGTAAGAAATATTTGCTTAAACGTACAGGTCAACCGTTTTCAACAAAACGTTGGAATGCATCGGTTAAGTATTAATTGTATGGGGACACTCTGAACATTGAGGCCAAGTAATAGCTACCTACTTAATCGCCCAAGGATACTTCACTTCACCGATGATTAAGAATATATCATTGACTGTAATTCACATTTCAGTGTATAGTGTTCAAAGTTGCTCTTTTAAAAAGTAGTTCAGAGGTTATAGGACACACATTTGCAGATTGTATGTTTACCATGCAGTCGTCCATACTCGGAATTAAAATATCAACTGTGGATATTTTTGCAACATTGTTACATAGAGGCAATGAATAAGTTAATGCTGACACAACTCAATGTGCTGGATACTCTTAATACACATACATGGATAAGTATACTTTGTAACATAATTAAACTTTTGATTTAAAGCTTTTGTGACTGCAGGGATTCATATTATTGGTTCTTTCGGTAAAGTGATGTAGAAGGGAAACAATAAAAAATATATATATTTATTATTTTATATTAAAAAATATAGATTTTTATTATTTTATATTTGTATTATTTTATTGTTTCCCTTCTACGTGATTTTACCGAAAGAACCAATAATATAATTAAACTTGTATAATGTAAAGAAAACTAATTTTAAAGCTATGTTCTTAGTTGACATCAACAGGATATTTTTGTATTTTTCTACATAACACAAATAAGGCTTGTCATCAAGTTGGGCACGCTTCGCTCACAATCATATTTAGTTATGTCATATAGCATCTTGAGCAATGTATTCTTTTGCAAGCATATTTCATCAGATGATGTAGGAATAATTTGATAATTCAAGCTGAGTCATGAAAGATACAAGTTGTTTTGGCTAGTCAGTAAGTGCGTTACATAGTGTTTAGCAAAAATCATTGTTGCTTGGACCAGTATTATCCTCAACTTGCTCTCACTAAAATCTGGCAGCAATTCAAAGTAATCATGCCATGCTTGCACACTCCCCGCATGAGACATATTTGTTATGTTAAAATGTACCCTTAGGCTGCACAGAAAGCCAACTAGATGTTCTCATGGTACAACACAGACTCATTAAATTACATTTCTTAATTTTTAAAACGAAGTATTTTTATGATGGAACTAGATGTGAGCATATTTTGTGATTCGATCAATAAATCTATCTTTATTTTACGTGCCAATATCGCCCTAAAAAAAGTAGGCATCAGTGGACGTGACAGCAGTGGCATGGAGTGAAAAAAAACCCCTAACGACCATGGCGACAAACACCGACTGAGCAAAGTCGATCGCAACCACGGGCAAAATAAAGTGCAACCGTGCGCCACGAATAGCATGAGAAAGTAAGTAGTGACTGAAATAAATAAGTAAACTGGGGGTTTTCTTTTCCCCTTCTTAATTGTTTTATTTTATAAGGCAAGTTTGAATAGATTTATTGCACAGGCCAGAGAATTGAGAGACACTCGGCGCATTTTGGACGTCCGGTGGCAGGGTGTTCCAGATTTTGGGGGCTGCGCTCAAGAAGACTCTGCCCCTCCAGCGTCGGGTGAACAATCCTGAACTGGGAAAGTCTTGCCGTTCCCGTGGTACGGAGTGTGGTGCATGTGCCTGAGGATTAGAGGGAGCTGCGGTTTTCCAGGTAGTTGGGGCCAAGCTTTATAGCGTCCGTTGATTATCAATGGAACGCACGACATTGAATAATATCTTCACATTACACGAGACATTGAATACAGTGAATAGATGTCAGTGCCAAAAATTTATTCTTAGTGGAATTACATAATCTTTACGAGCTATCACGGATAAAGTAATAGAAAATGTTTCACCTGATGACGATTGCTTGTGTTGCGATCGAAACGTCGTGATATTGTTATTATTTTTATAAATTGTATTTTTTTTTTCTATGTGGCTTTACCGAAAGACCCAAATAATATAATAGAAAAGGTTTAACCCTACAATTCCTTGCATATGCCACTGATGACAAAAGGGCCTACACCAGAGGGAGCGCTGGATATATTTTGGGCTACTCCTTCATGCTGACTAGACTGATGCCACTGTTAACGGAAAGGCCTCCAGAATAGTGGCTGATAGAGAGCTCCAATGGGTCTTTGGCCTACTCTTCTACATTAGCACACCTGCGATTTGCACGGTTGGCTGCATACGGTGTGAAAGTAGTTCAACATACATTAGTCAGACATCTTTTGAAGAAGTGGGTAGACCCAGACTTTTCCCCAGCGCACGTGACCCGCCGACCTGGTCTACCGATTTACGCTGCTGGGTAGACAGAGGCAGAGGCGTTTTATAAACTTGCACTATTGTTGCCCCAGGAGATCGAACCGGTAACCTCTGCATTGCAAGTCCAGTGTGCTGGCCATGACACCAATGCAGCATCCAGCATAACGAGCCTTAACCTTTTTTTGATGTAAAGCTTTCGTGACTGCAGGGATTCATATTCTTGGTTCTTTCGATAAAGTCACGTAGACTTTACCGCAAGAACCAAGAATATGAACCTTAACCTCTTGTGACACATACGTTTATACACGTATTGTATTACAGGTCATGTCGATACACGTGGGGAGCGCGTCAAAGCAATCTGTTATAATTCACGAAATGTCAAGTGCGTACAGACCAGTGTGATAATTTCCTGTCAAATTTGGGGAGAAGTTCCATGTCATTGAGAGCTCCAGCTCTTCACGCTGCACAGTGATGGTCACACTGTGTGCCTCAACGTGCCTTGTGCATATTGCATAGGGCCCGTGGGGACATACATGTCTGGTCTGAATGTGACAAGGACTTCTTGGTGGATGTAATGCCATAAGGAGATATGGGGTGTTGGCCCTAATAATGTACACCATGTTTGAGCTTGCCTGGCTAGGTTTTCTGACAAAATGTGAAATGACATTCTCTTGAATAGTGTGAGGAAAAATAAAAAATAAATCTCTCACATCGGAAACCTCCCTAAGGGTGTCTGGGGCACTTGCATGTGGAGTGGAGTTTTTTTGGAATGGAATTTATTTTCCTGATAATCCTTGGTAAGGGTAAAAGTGCAGTTCTGCAATTTCTTGCTCACACCATTGCTGGCTGCTGGGCCTCCACGAGAGGGAGCGTAATAATGCCCGTCTAGACAATGTTTGGCCGACGACTCCACACTGATCAGACATCTTAGAAGAGGTCGGAGTACACGCACACTTTACCCAACCACAGACAATTTGCTGACTGACTAACTATGGTGTACCCATGTATAACTGCTGGGTGGACAGAGGCGGTGTGGGAGATTCAGGAAGCTTGCACCATTGTTTCAACTGTCACGCTGGGAAGTGGAACCGGCGACCTCTGGAAGTCGCGTGTGCCAACCATTACACCTTTGAAGCATCCATGATAATCATTGATACATTCTGATGAACACACAAAGCAACATTGCAATAATAACCTTTTTTTATTTATGACGGCCTACAAAGTATGCATTTTACAGAAGTGAGACCGATACAAAATTAACCATCATAGCTGAATACAGTATTGAACAGAAAAGAATGTTATGCTGTGCAAAAATGTTTTTACTTGCATTAAGAAGATATAAATTACTTTTTTTTCCTATCTACACATGTCCACTAGATCATAACAAAGCATTTGTTTATTTGTAGGACAGAGATGAATGTGTTTAGGTTGTTGTCCTTCTCCTGCACCTCCGATTAGCACTGTTGGCTACGTACGGTGCGGAAGAAGTTAAACATACGTATTGTCTAATAAAAAATAACGAAATTCAGGTTTTGAAAGATACTATATTTACATGACACTTAGCTCAAAGCCCTTATATTACAGCAGCTTCATTATTGGCAAAATGAAGATATTCTGTACAGCTTAGTTAATGTTAATCCAAGCTCAGAATTTGAGGTACTCAATATATTGAGATTGGTTAATTTGCAATGTAGTCATCATAGGTATGGGAACAGCCAAGATGTAAATCTCTGAAGAATTAACATTTGTAACAAATATTGAGAATTGTACCTCTAAAATGTGCGTGAAAGAATTTGCATTGCATTTCACTGTGGAAATTGTGTTCCGAATAAAATAGAACTGATATTTTTTTTGTTACACACGATGTTTAATGACAAATGCTTATGCGACATTTTATTTAACCTAAAAAAATATACTTAATGCAAGTCCAACAAAAATACATAACCATTCAGTAAAATGCAATCAAATTAAATGTTAACTTGGAAATAACGTTAATTGAATGACAAGATATTTCTTTGTTCCATGGTCATTACAAATACAGCTCCATAAAGGACTAAGTGTTAAAACATTTCAATAAATAACATATTTACAATCTCATTCCGTAAAAAATGAAATTAGCATTAACTCTCATACTTTGCCACGATGTGACCCAATGAAAGGTCTCTTGTCTTTATAAAAAAAGGCGGAAAATAAATAATCTAATACAGTAATTTAACAAATAACAAAAAAGACCTTTTTTCTATCTACAAACAATCGCTTCTTCCCACATGTTCATATAGTTTCTTTTCATACCTACACTATGTACTGGTTTGAAAGCTTCTATAAGAGTTTACTGAAATATCAAGCAAGATTCCTTCCAAACGAAGGCATTTCGGAAAGCACCGCGCGAGTTTAACCAGTACTTTGCTTTAATTTAACAAAACCATAGTAGCCCATAGCGTACCATTACAAATACATGTTACCCTACATAACCAACATGAGACTTTGCTGTGCGTGAATACTGGTATTAACAATGCATAACCATTCTCGCAGGAGCGTACTTCTGTTGTGTGCATTAACTAGTGGAGTACAAAAGTGTTTGGAAGCCTTTCAATTTTGACCGGATGTCTCATCATTTGGTACGTTTTTAGGTGTAACGCGTTTTCTTTTTCCTTAGACGTGCCGACTTTTGTTAATGTTACGAGGGCGCTTCTTACATAAATCGTACTTTAAAAAAATAAATATCTACATTGACTTTTAATACCTTAAAATACTACGATAATACAATTGTGCTAAACTGCTGTGCATAGGCTTGATACTGAAACATTTTCATCAACGTATGCACACAATTGTGTTTCACAAACTATCTGTCGAAAAAGCCTTTGGAAATTCTCACTTTCAAGTGTCTACACTTGTGCATTTCACCCATGATCGATAAATATATGCTTATAGTTATTGATTCGTTATATCAACATGGACTTTGATAAAACAGAGCAATTGGGAAGTTTTTGTTATCCTCAATGCTATACTGTGAGGTTATGGTAGAATCGCAAAAATGTATTGGAATAGTTTTGAAAAAAACTTGGGGCAGGTGCCAAAGCTGAGGCAGAATCTCTTAAGAAGACCTTTTTTTTTCTCTCCAAGAAATGCAGCTTCTTGTCGGAGATAGATGTTTATTTCCGGAGCACTGTAGACATTTTATAAATCTGCAAAGAAAAAAATGGACGAATAAGAATTAAGTTAGACATCACATTCCCAGTTGGAGACCAGT